CCCATAAATAATGACCACCCTAAATAAAACACGCGGTCAAAATTCAACACCAGTGCAAATTTTGCTTACCTCAACCAGCTGAGTTTTATTGAGACCAGGTCGTGTTTGAAGTTTAAAATGTCGCTTATATCTTCTCAACGTACTTGTTTGGAGTATACTAACATCGACCTGGAGACAAATATCAAGCATTTCAGCAAGCGAAATACAAACATCTATTATATGGCATGCATCACAAGTAAACATCGCTGAAGACACAGTTCAAATTAACAAAATTACATGACACAATGAAAGAATACAAAGTATTGGCATGGAATTTTGTAATATTTTACAGTTTTAAAACAGTAGCATAAGAATTCGAGTTAATATATGATTTTATATGATTTTACTGTAAAATATAGTAAAGAGTAAAGTTTTAATATAAAACGAGATTATTAAATCGTCAAAATGAGCTAAAAAACTGTACCTCTTGACCATCATTTTCGTCTTCCGAGTCCTTACGTTTACGCTTACTTCGTGCAGTTTGAATCATGTCTTTATGATAGTTACAGATGTAAATATGTCCGGCCTAGAAAATTAAAACCCCGGTTAAAATTATAAAATTACGCTCGATGATTTTATAGCAAAGTCTCGAGCAAAGTAGCACAACTCACACTTTCAGCTGCTGCAAGTTTTAGTTTCTTCTGAGCTACAGTTTTTTGAATCCTCTTGGAGTAACAAGCATTCCCTGCCAATCTCTTACACCTGTCTTTGTCTTCAATCAAGCAACAAACTCGGTGAGGTTTAGGAGAATTGTCTTCGCTTTCGCTCTGGTAACCGTTCATATCGACATTTTTCTCTGTGATTTTACGTCGTGAAAATATATCATAGAGAATATATAAAAGTCTTCGAACTTTCCTGTTTCATAACACACGTGACTCCGGTTCTCTTCTGTTATTGGTTGTTTCCTCCATTTACCGGAAGTGTAACTGTAACTAGCGGAAGTGGTGGGATCATAGTGGGATATTCCACTGAGCTATAAATAAATATATTAGACGGTTTTAGATAACAAGACGCGGACGTCAAGAGGACGTGGATGTCGTCATTTGGCGCCAACTATCGTCAGCTTCTAGTTTGCGACGTCGTCTTGGACGATTTCACGACGCGAAAATACAATTTTCACGTCCTCTCTAGAACGTCACAGATTTTTGCTTCTTTTGAAAAAAATATGAAACTATGCATAATAAAAATCATCCTATTTTGTTCCCCATGTATAGTTTAATGATACTAGCTAAAGTTTTTCCATTGACAAGGTTGTTTTTCCTGTATTTCGCTAAATTTTAGACGACGGTTGATTTTCGACAAATACTTTCGGTCGCCATAAACAAATCAACAAAACTGCAAGCATTGTTAATAACCACTTCAATACCGCTAGTAATCTTCACCAAAACAAATATTTTAGAGCAAACTAAACTGAAGTTATATTAACAACTGTTTAAAATCAGGAAAACTTGTGAAAATAGAAAAATAAAAGCACTTAAAAGCAGTAAAAACTCAATCAATTTTAGTTGCTCTGTCACAACAGTGCAAAAAGTAGGACAAGCAAAAAAACGCTTTCCAGCGTGAAAAACTATCGTAAACAGTATTAAATTTTACCAATATAAACACTGATGCTATATTTATACTGAACAGTTGACAAACTTGATTGATTAGGCTACAATTAGCTCGTAAACAATACCTGCAGCTGTTGTATTTATTCCAAATGATGCAACAAAGTTCACTTTTCAAAATATCAAAAAATAACTTTTTTCTAAAAAAAACTTATTATTGAATGTCCATACTGATTCATCAGGAAACACTTGCCCAGTATTATATAGCCTTTTCTTGCACATATCTTGACAACTGATTGAAAACAATACAGGAATGAACAGGCCGACAAGAAAACAAAAATTTGCTTCGAAAAAGACAAACAAGCCGTCCCAGATTAAAACCCGGAAGTGAACGCGAGGTGCATACGTCATTTTCACGTCCTCTTGACGTCCGCGTCTTGTTATCTAAAAGCGTCTATTGTCCATGGTGGTGTTCGCGAGGTTCAACCGGGATATTCGGAAAGTCAAATCGCGATCTGGAGTATGTTATTTTTTAAAATTTCTGTGACGTCAAAATACGTCATAAATCTGATCATCCGTACAAACAAACATTCGTACATGCAAATAAAATCGAGTTGTCGCTCGGCTATACATAACTCGGCCAACCGGAAACGGACTGGTGCGAGAAAAACACATCGTCAAGAATAGGTGGCTGCCTACGGCAGCAATAACTTGAAAATGATGCACGCTGTAGCATCGAAACGTCGTTTAATAAATGTAATATCGCTATCATTTGTTTCAAAATTATTTTCAAAAAAGTTTTTGATTGAATAGCTTTGACTGAATAAGTGCCTTAAATGTTAGCCAGCTTCGCAGAAGAAATGTTGGCTGTTAGCGAACCTCGGAACCAATGTTTGAAGTCTGAAGTCTGAAGTCCCTTCACGGCTTCCGTAATTTTTAGCTGTTTGTTTACATTCGCGTGTTTGCTGATCAGCGACACTAGTAGCCTGCGTAGCAGGCGGTATTTCTACAGGCAGCGAAAATTAGGGAGGCAAAGGAAACACCGTCTGCCGCAAAACTAGGGGCTTTTGAATTACCCGTCCACTGGTGAACGGAAAAAACGGATTGGTTAGTATTTTTATGTAGTTGTCAATCAACGGCTAAATTCGGTTAAATGTTAATCATTAACCAAATGTTTTGACGTTTTGAAACTCTGCGTTTTGAAATTAGTTCACTGCAATCACAAGTCAGACCATGCAGAAATGGAATACCATCACTCTCCTCCGCAGAGTCTGAATTATATAGGATTTGTAGGCATAGTAGAGGATATTTAGTGGTGCGCGACGGGGGGAAGATCGATGATTAACAAAATGTAACGAAGACTCTGCCATATAATGCGCGGTTCTCGGGTTGATTCTGCGGTTCTCGGGTATGGCTGAAATAGAGCAAGAAATCGACTCAGAAAGCAGCGATCTAGACATCTTAGAAGTTTCCCTTCACAATCTAGGTGGAATGACCCTCAAATTTTTCTCAAATTTTTGAAAAAAATAAAAAAAATTTTTTGGTTTTATATGATGCCTATGTTATCAAAATATACTCCTATGTTGCTTGCTCCATGATTTTATGCCTAAAATGTGTTTATTTTAAGGGTTTTTTACTGGATGTTCACTCGTTGCTATGGAAACAAATTTGTTTACCCTTTGTTTTTTGCCTATAAAAGCGAACTTATTTACAAAATTTTCCGTAAAAATCGTGGGGTATTTAGGGAAGACTGGGTTCTAATCTAAGCTTTTCCCCAGGCCCCCTACGAAACGCGCAGACGAAAAAAAAACAACATTCTTTCTAACATTGTGATCGAGAGTTATTTTGCGAAAATAAAATGGGAAAATTTGGTACACAGAAGCGTAAAAAACGCCAATTTTGTGGCAATCGACATACTAAACGTTATTGTATTGAATATGAGGGCGATGGCGAGCCAGTAATGCAAGAAAATAACGAGGAAAGCGAGGTTTCTTAGGGCAACGTTGGTGACATTCCAGCTAGAATTTCAGTGTCCTACAGGAAGCTTCAACCTCGTGTTCGGCAGAATTCCAGCGAGAAAAGAATCCCTAAACCTTCAACAGAAAGTTCTCAAGGCATTTATGGATTCAGGCTTTGTGATATGGAACTTATTGGAAATGTTTTTCCATATTTGTCAGCTTCCCAGAATGTATACAACACAATGGAAGAAAATAGTATCAAACATTCAAACGTGATGGTTGTGCTTCTAAACTCCACCTCACTTGCCAAAACTGCAAATGGATGCATTTGTCTTGGATTTCAAAACGAAAAACAAAAGAGTTTTGAAATAAATTGACGATTAGTGTATGGAATGCGAATGATTGGCAAAGGTCATGCTGGTGCATCAAAGGTTTGCTCTGTCATGAACATGCCACCACCACCTAGACCAAAGTCTTTCGGGAAGTCATCTTGTGTCATTACTAAGCATGCAAACACAGTTGCTAAGAAGAGCATGAGAGCAGCTACAAAAGAAGTGTGTGTTTTGCAACAAAGTGAAGATGTTGATGGAACAAATCCTGTAAACTGTGGTATTTGATGTGACGGTACCTGGCAACGAAGGGGACATTCATCATGTAACGGGCGTGTTACGATTATGTCGATGGATAGCGGGAAAGTTCTTGATGTTGAGACACTGAGTCACTAACTGCATTTTGCAAAAGAGGCAATCATTGAACTTTTAAATCTACTGGATATTACTCCTGGCAAGTATACATAAGTGGCTTGTCAACTTGAAGACAAGTTGAGAGTTTTGCATGCAGAACACAAATCCACGCCCGAAGTTAAGAAGAGGCGTAAAGTGATGAGAGGACTGAAAAAGCAAAAGTATGACAAAAACAAACAGGGGGAGGGAGTAAAGTATGGTGCTGGAGAGTTCTATTGACTTTTAGGGACATGAAGTGTTTTTGGTAACCAATTACATAGTATGAAAAGTTTAAACTGTATTTTCTCCAATAAACGACTTTTGCAAGGTTTGTAATCTGCCAACAGTGATATCTCAAAAACAATTTAACAGATTTGGCTAAAATTTTCAGAGGATGTTTACTTCATCAAAAGCTATGCAATGAACTAGAATGAAGTCATTAGGTCAAATATTTTTTGTGCTATAAGCAAAAATTCATGCTGATCATGACTAAATTTCAGGCACATATATTGTTTCATTCAGAACTTAGAAACTATTCACCTGATTTAAAATCTTTTAGTTCATTGCATTGGTCTGGTAGTGCTTATTATTTTCCCAAAGTTTCATAGACAAATCTTAATTTGCTTTCAAGTTATCATCGTTGGCGCAATGGTCCGCTGCAAGGCGTTTCGACCTGTTATCTTGGTAACCATGGCAACAGTATATGTCGGACTCACATAAATGTAAATACTTTTCAATGGGCTTTTATAATATACCATTTAAACTTTATTTCTAGTTTTAAATATAAAAAAAATATTTTGAGGGTCATTCCACTTAATTAATTAATATACAATATTTATATCTCATTTGACGGAATGTTTTACATATTTGTATACGACGGATTACAAAAAAACGTTTGGTTGAAGTCGGCTTACAAAATGGCCGCCAGTCTACAGACCTGCCAAGTCTCACGATTTTTGATGCTTTCCCACGTTTAAGTCCTCAAATCTCTCGATTTTCGGCAAAATCTCTGCTAAAACCATAAGTGATTCCAAACACCCGTGGAAAAATGAAATATGCTATTATTTCGTGAGACTTGGCACTGGAAGCTACTGAAGCCATAAGAAAAAAACAGTCTATTTTTAATATAAGCCTTGCATTACAGTTATATTAACAAAATATAAATGCATACTATCCCCAAGATTGATTATCTATTGATTATTTTCTAGTGTTGTTAAAGTTAACCCTGTCCCTGGTCATATTATTAATGAGCAAACCTTTCCTGGCACAGAAAGCAAGCCTTTCCTGGCACAGAAGTTAAGCGAAAAGGATCCTATGATAACAGATTGTTAATATATCAAGGTATTGGCCACAAGTCTTATTTACATCCAGGGTCAGTATCAACACATGGTGACTTCGATGAATGTCCAGAGATAGATAATATCAGGAAACTTATTAGCGCAACTCGAACAGAGGTAACTTCCATTAATGCCAAAATCGATGAACATCTGTCATGTGAAGATATAAAAAGGGATATTGTAAAAACGCTTATGTGTAAACAAGTGAGTTTGCAAAATAGAGTCGAGGAATTGTATAATATTCTTACAGGGCTTTTCCAGAAGGAAGCTACACGGCTGTCAGCACAGCAGTCACATTGTGTCTCGCTCCACAGTGAAGAAGCAAGGAAGCTAAATGAAGAATTGGATAAATTTATTCAAATCTTGAATTTTAATATTGAGTCAAGAAGTGACTTTACTGGCATGATTGCTGGACTAACCGATAATGTCAAAGAGAGTTGTCCTCCTTTATTTGACATTTTAGAAGCAATTTCGCTGCACAAGGATGGCAGACCTGTGTCAAACATGCGTGTTAAGAGTGCTGTTCATGCGATTGCAATTTTGGTAAGCTTGAAAAATCAAAAAATCAAGAACGACTTTAATTAAACTTATGTTTACCTTCCTTTGCATATCTTTTGGGGTTGGATGTCGTTTTATTAGCATGCTCAATCACCTGGCAAACAGCCATGAAGTTCTTTGACGATAAAATGAAAAAGGCAAAAGCAACATTTGGACGAAATCTCTCCGAAAGATATTCCTATTATGTTATTAATAGATAACATAAATATATACAGAGGGAAAAGAAAGCATTTACGTGTTATCAGGCCAAAAGGTTCTACAATGTGGAACTTTACAGGACAAGCAGTACTTATACCACAATTGGATGGCATTGAAGAACTGTTTTCGAATGATAAATCTAGTCTAGCTCCACAGGGTAAAGTCACAGAAATGAAAGCAGATGTTATCTTCATAGAAAATGATGAAAAAAATTTTAGAAGTTTTTGATGCAGCTGTGGACAAATACCTGATAAGTCTTCTACATGACGCTTTAAACAAGGTACCATTTACTCTGTCACAGTTAAAAGACATGTCTGAAAAAGAACTGAACTCATTCCTAACAGCAGAAGGATTCAAAGATTTGCCCGAGCCAGAATATGACATTGACGTCCCTTCGGAAGGGCATGTTTTGAAAGATATCGTCCCACCAACAAAGGTTTTCTATAATTATTCCTTGAAATATCAAGTGTTGCACAAACTTCGTAACAGTCACGATGTTTTTGAAGGTGTTTTTACCTTTCCCATACAAAGGAACAACATGAAATCCCTTACTTGTTATTTCTTTGGCTTTTGAACCCATGTACGTCATAGATAGTTCCGATAAATTTACTCTTGGTTGAATGGCAATTAAGCTTGCAAGGCAATTTAGCAAGTTCTTTGCTTCATCTATGCAGTCGTTTGCATCCAGTACACTTCCCTTCTGACAGATGTCACAGACGCCACAACATTCGCCTTCATCCTCTCCAAAATATCTAGCTATGCTCTATAATCTGCACACTGCATAATCTGTACACGCTCGTTCCTATCTAAACCCGCATGATAAAATGTGGCAAGTGTGCCATGATCTTTTAACACGTAAGCCATTTCCACAGTGTCTGCCTGGGTTGCACAATACACAATACCACACTCGTTCATATGTTCTTTGCTTATGATGTTTGCTACTTGCTGCTTTGATTGGCTTTCCTTTTTAGGAATAATATTATAGTGAAGGTTATCTCGTCGACATGGCATTTTCACAACCTGTTCATTTTTCATTTTAAGAGTTGATCGGATTACATCCATGGTGTGTCCAGTAGATGTATCAGTTACAGCAGCAAAAGGGACATCAAATTTCCTTAATGTTCCTAGCTGCTGGTATGCAGGACGAAAATCACTTCTCAAGTATCGATGCAGTGGGCTTCATCAATTATAAAAAAACTCAAACGATTGTCATATTTTAATTTCTCCAAACAATTTTGAAATTGTTCGGTCATTACCGCTTCTGGACTAATGAAAACAAATTGATACTGGCACATAGGTTCTCGTAAATGGTGCAAGATATTTTGAGCACAAAACTCAGAGATATTGACAGCTTTGAAATTTGCTACAACCACAGAAAGTACTGCCCGATTACACCTTAAAAAGATATTTAACAGTTGTGAAATTATTCATGCGAATAAGCCAAGAATGGTTAAGGTTGTATTTTTAATGTTTTTATGTTGTGAATTAGAACCTGGATAATAAACCAGCTTATTTAACTTTTTATTTATTACTAGCGTCGCTGATCAGCGAACACGCGAATGTAAACAAGCAGCTAAAAATAGACCCAATTTGGAGATTTATAACTTTTCAGAAAATTGCTTGCAGACGAGTTTTATTCCTGATTACTTAACTTTAGTAGGTATACTTTCAAATTGGATGCCTTTTGAACTTCAGATATGTGCCAATTTAGAGCTATTTTAAGTAAAATATGAGCAATTTTCAGCCTCTCGTCGCCATCTTGAAGACATAGTTTCGTAAACTATAAAAAAATCGTATTAAATTAAGCAAATAAAGTTGTTCAATATCCATGTAAACGAGAGTATTAGTGTTAATCTTGCATGTGAACAACAGATGAATTCTTGTAAAATTCTCCTTCATTTCCGGTCTGAAAATATTCTCGCAAGGTCAAATTTCAACATGGCTATAACTCCTATAAAACAGAAAGTTGAAACGTTCTGAAAGAAGCTCGATTAATATTGACCAAAGTCTAGTTCATATGCAAAATAATTGTCAATTGGCACGTCCTGATTGGTTGAGCTTGATTCATAATCTTAATTTGAAATCCGAGTTTCTATGCGCTTGTGTTCATAATTATATTCCAAAGTCTAATCCCGCAGAATTACAGAACTAGTGTCGAAATTGATTCAATACAGTATATCGATAGACGATGGTATATCCTAGCGACATAGCGGACAACTATAGTTACTAAATGAATACAGTGTGTGTACGGATTCGCTTTGGCAAAGATTTATAAAATTTGTAAAGGGATACTAATAATGTCAATGCAGTTAAATAATTTTACTATATATCAATATTCTAAGGGAATTTAGAAACAGAGTTTATTTACTTTTGATCGTGTACTGCAAGTGTTTCGCACTCTCGTTTCGAAGTGCTACTTTACTGGGACTTCCAAAGGACGTAGGCCACACTTGTTTTTGTACTTTATATCTTATATATTATCGATGTGTCAAATGTACGACACATAGTGACAAAGACGAAGAAGTCAACTATATTAAACAAAAATATGTTTACAATTAAGTACTTGATAAAGTGTAAGATTATACTGAATGATTATAAATGATAAGTCAGTTACTCACAACTTTCGTGAGCCTGTCCTGTTGTTTCGTTCCTTTTTAGAGTAAAAAGATGGTAAATATTATCACTAATATTAAAACATATAGTTGTTCGTATTCAAAACAAAACCACACTTTCCGGTTCTCTCCAAAACCCGCATGCGGACTGACCTGTTAGTAGATTAACCTATACATACAGGGTCGGAAGTAATTAGTATGCAGATGACGTCAGCAACTATTTTGTCGCATAACATGTATCGCGCGACATGAATTGTCGCATAACATGTGTCGCGCGATATTAATTATTGCATAACATTTATCGCGCAACATGAATTGTTGCATAACATTTGTAGCGCGACATGACGTCAGCAATTATTTTTGTCACATAACATTTGTCCAGCGATGTTTTGTATAAAACATTGGTTTTCGAATAAGAAAGAGTATAGTGTTCATAGTTTTGAGATAACACTGTTGATATGGATACGAAAATTAAGGATTGTCAAACGATAGCGGAGTTAACGGCGTTGGAGAGGTTGAATACGTTGAGTGAAGCGGAACAACGGCTTGTGTTTGAGAAGAAAATGGAAATTTTTCAGCGTATAAGGGAATGGCGAATAGAAAACGAGTGATTGGGGCTTGTGGCTGATCTTTCGGATACCTGGACCCCAGAACAACGAGAGAGATTTCTGTATGGTTGGCAAAACGACGAGCCTTTGTTACAGGTACCAAGGTGACAGAAAAGATCCTATGATGAAATGAACGATGGCGCAATTGATGAGGTTAGCGATAATTATTTTACTGTGAGAAATGTACGTTAAACAAGTGAAAGTCAAACAGTTCCGAACCACGGGTGTGGATTATACTGTTCAGTTTACGGACACGTTTGCTCATTTGGAGCTTTCTGAGTTTCATAACCGCCTCCATGAAATATTTCAACGTGTGCTTGATAGAGATACCAGAGATGTTCCTTCCCATGATCAGGTCCGTTTTGTGTTACGTTCACCACAATTGGATCCCCTATATTGTTACCGTGTAAGCCTCGTCAACGACTTACCACTGAACGTGTGTTAGCTGAAATCGAGCGTGTGATTCAATCGAATCGTGAATTTCGGTTGAATGATTCTGTTAATGTTAATGTTATTCATGTGGAAATGCCCCATGGTGGTAAGGGCACGAATCGAAGTGAAATCAATTTGGAAAAGCATTATTTGATAAACAAAAGATTGATTATTCGCATTCAAAACAAGGATGTGTTTAGCCAGAGCCCTTGTCGTCGCCAAAGCCAAGATTGATAACGATACACGGGATCGTCTTATACGAGACCATCGGAGACCACTTCAAAAGCGTTTGGCTCGTGAATTACATCAAAATGCTGGTGTTTCCCTCGGATCCTGTGGCATGGACGAAGTCAAGCAATTTCAGACCTATCTTTCTGACTACCAAATCAACATCGTTTCCAAAGAGCATCAGCATTCCATCCTTTATTCGGGTCCCGATTGAGAGAAAATAATTTACCTGTATCTCCACGATAACCATTATGATGTTATTACGAGCATGCCCGGTTTTTTAGCTCGTAATAAGTTTTGTCATACCTTCAAGAAAGCTACAATAATCAGAGAGATCATCTGTGCCCCAACGCGTGTAAATGCTGTCGTTTTCCGAACTGTCCCATCGTATCTTGGATTCATTGTGACGGCTGCAATCGGGATTTCAAAAGCCAGGACTGTTTTGATAGACATAAACAGACGGAAGGAAAATCGAAATCCATCTGTTCCGATCTCGTCAAATGTTCTGAATGTCATACCGTCGTGAAGTGAAGTAAAAAGAGACCTGAGAAGCATCATTGTGGCATAACGAAATGCTCTATATGTAAAGAGTACATTCGAACCGGCAACCACGGCTGCTATATGCAACCTGTGAAGAAACGAAACACAACCGAAGACTTGCCCGATAGCGAACCCGACGAGGAAGACTTGCTCGATAACGAACCCGATGACGTAGCCAATGTTGGGTAAAACCAATTATTATTTTTCGATTTCGAGTGTCGTCAAGAAAACAGTAACCACGAACCCAACTTATGCCTACTTCAGAACGAAGCTGGTGACGAACGGGTATTCGAAGGGGATAACACGCGAAACGAATTCTGCGAATGGCTCTTTACGAAAGAACATGCGGGCTGTACCGTAATGGCGCATAATTTCCAAGGTTACGATAGCTACTTCATTCTCCAATACCTACGTGAGAACGGTGTCAAGTATGACGTCATCATGCGCGGTGCAAAGGTCCTCACGTTGTCGTTGCCCATGTTTAAGATCAGGTTTATCGACTCCTTGAGCTTTATCCCAATGAAGGCTATTTCCCTCACCTTTATAACAAGAAAGAGAACGAGCACTATGTTGGACCCCTACCTCCGAGTCCATATTACAATCCTGACGGAATGAATCCTGACGAGAAAGAAAAGTTTTTGGAATGGCATAATGAATTGAAACAGAACAATTACGTGTTCAATTTTCAGCAAGAAATCCTGAGTTACTGCCGCTCTGATGTTGATATTCTCCGTCGCTGTTGCCTTGAGTTTCGCGAGCTGTTCCGTGACGTCACAGATATTGACCCCTTTGAGAAATGCCTTACCATTGCGTCAGCGTGTAATCTGGTATATCGAACGAATTTGCTGGAAGAAGACACCATTGCCATCATCCCTCCACATGGTTACCGTCCGAAAGTCAAACAATCCAACATTGCCCTGAAATGGTTGTCTTACACCGCTGAGAAGAATGACATTTTTGTTCAACATAAACGGAGTGGTGGAGAGAAGAGTGTTGGCAGGTATTTCCCGGATGGATATCATGAGGAAACCAATACAGCTTATGAATTCCATGGATGTTTCTGGCATGGTTGCTTGAATTGTTATGCCCGTGGTACCGTGAATCCCGTCACTGGTAAAACGATGCACAACCTCTACATGGCGACCGTGGAGAAGACCAGTTACCTCAGGGAAGGTGGTTTCAACGTGATCGAAATGTGGGAATGTGAGTTGAAGCGGGAACTGGAGCAAGACGAAGATATGAGAAGTTACTTTGACAATTACAAACTGATTGATCCTTTGGAATCTCGTGAGGCCTTCTTTGGTGGTCGAACCAACGCTGCCAAACTCTACCATCAGTGTGAAGAGGATGAAAAAGTCAGGTACGTCGATTTCACGAGTCTCTACCCCTGGGCCAGTAAGATGACGCGAACAATCGTTGGCCACCCGCGCATTATCACCGTAAACTTCGACGAAGACATCTCCACTTATTTTGGCTTAATCAAATGTACGGTATTACCACCTCGAGGTCTTTTCCATCCTGTTTTACCCTATCGTGCGCAGGGTAAATTGATGTTCCACCTTCGCAGAACCTGCGCAGATACGTGTGATCAGAACACCTGTACCCACTCCGACAACGAAAAAGCTATCCAAGGAATCTGGTGCAGCGTGGAGTTGGACAAAGCCCTAAAGAAACGTTACCGAATCCTACAATTGCACGAAGTGTGGCATTTTCCCGAAACCTCGGACGAACTGTTCAAAGATTATATCGATACCTTCCTCCAAATCAAACAGGAGGCGAGTGGATACCCCAACGACTGTGTTACCGAGGAACAGAAACAACAGTACGTGGACGGGTATCTAGAGGTAGAAGAAATCCGTTTGGATCCAAACAAGATCGAGTATAATCTTGGCATGCGCGCCTTGGCGAAATTGATGCTCAATTCGTTTTGGGGTAAATTTGCACAACGACCCAACATGGCCAAAAACCTAACAGATTATTCGAGACCCGCAGGTGTATTATGATTACCTCACCTCGGATGAAATCAACGTGCTTGACGCCAACCTGGTGAGTGACGACATGATTGAAATATAAGTACACCGAGAATTTCATCGCACCCAATGCCAAAACCAATGTGGTCATCGCCGCGTTTACCACCGCTTATGCACGTCTCAAGTTGTACGAGGTATTGGATGTGTTGCAAGAAAAAGTCCTCTATTACGAAACAGATTCCGTGATCTTTGTTAGCAAACCCGACGATCCAGAACCACCGACGGGTTCTTACCTTGGTCAATTAACCGATGAATTGAAAGGGGACCACATTACCACTTTCATCTCGGGCGGTCCAAAGAATTATTGTTATCGTACCAATACGAACAAGGTGAAGACGAAAATACGTGGGATCACGTTAAACTGCACGGCTAAACAGAAAGTGAACTTTGATGTTATTCGTGCATTAGTGTTCCTTCATGCTAAATGTCATGTTACCGGACAAGTGTCAGTGGATATCCCGTTCAAGATCACGAGAAATACGAAGAGCAAAAACATTGAGACCAAACGCATGAAAAAGGACTACCGCATTGTGTATAATAAACGTATAATTATTGATGATTACAAAACAATACCATATGGGTATTAAATACATTTAAAAGAACAGTTATATATTTGTTAAAATGCGAAGAACAGTTGTAAATGTTTTAAAATAAATCGTTTGATCTCAACGTTAATTTCTAATTTTCAGTTTGTGAGAATGGTCCAGATTCACCCACGTTTCTTTTTCCAATGCCTCAACCTGCTTTTCCTTTTTTCTAGCCATGTCAATCATCATAATTTCTTTCGCGTTCATATGGTAGGTAAAGTTGTTTCCCTGGGGGGCCAGGGGTACGGTTATACCCGCTAGTGTTTTCAGTACGATTTGGGTCAATATGGAGTGCAACGTCAGATTGTCTATAAGCGTTGCTGGTATAATAATAATTACAATATTTAGTCAGGGAATCCACTCACGAAAGTGATTTTCAGTGGAGCCCTGATAAAAAAATAATAAAAAATAAAAAAATAAAAGAATAAAAATATATATCTAACAAAAGTGAATATATGAAAGGTTAAATTGTATAAAGTTCTTGCGCATCCTATCAGTTCGGTGGGGTGTCCTATGGCTATATAGCTAAATGTTTCTTTAGTTTAGTTTTAAAAGTTTTAATTTGTCAAAAGTTTGATCAAAAGTCTGATCAAATCCAAAGTTACCAAATTTCCCTCTTGCGTAATAATTTTGTCCGAGAGCCAGTGAGTGACAATATTTCTCCAAGCCATGTTTGCTTCAAGTGATCGTGAAATCAAGAAAAGTACTGAGCTTTTATAGATTTTTGGTTACATAACAATGTGCATTGTATCGACAGACTGTTCCACCGTTACACGGTCCTCGGAAATGTATCCGTGATCGACGCATGCGTACCACACCATTTCAATAAAGTCTCAATCAGTTATAATTGCATCATCATCCTCGTGAAACACGCTTGGTATAAAATGTTTCAAATTCGGCCACAATAAATGTTCGAATTTTTGCAGATGGCGCGCGTATTTTTTTGGAGTTTGAAGACGATATTAATTTTCGAAATGTGCGCTATTTTAAGATAGCTGCGGTGACATGAAGGGTATCCTTAGACAAATATGTACTTGTGGGATGAATATACTTATGTATTCGTAAACATTTATACTCGATACTTGATATGTAAATACTAAATGGTACATTATATGGATCAATGCAAACTGGAACAAAACAACAATTGTCAATTGAAGTTCTAATTTTGGGAAATTTAGTAACAAATATAAAATCTCTAAACAGCTCATCGATTTGTACGTTTGCGCTATTAACAGTAGACAATATTAAACAATGATCTGAAGTTGTCATGCAACTGACAACAATATCATATTTCAAAATATCTGTATATGATGATATTTTACAAATATCTCGGGATTTTTGGACCAATTTTAAACTAAGCAAGGCAAAAAGTCTCCATTCAAGAATATATCTTCTTCTCAAAAGGTAAAATACTTAAAATACTTTATTAAATTGTTTACTTCGACGGTATCTAAATTAACAGCGTTTGACTTGCAAGACGTCAAAAACGGACGATTTCAACGTGCTGTTGTTTATCGCGTATTCATTTGCCAAAAGAAGTATTTACGTCAATTGAAAGCTTGCTTATTAAAGAGCCAATTAGTAGAAGCATGATCGATTTGGAGCTTTATCGCATGGTGAAAATTAAGAGGTTTTGTTAAGAGTGTATCGTAAATGAAGTAAGATAGTGTGCTCCAAAACTACGATTATATCTATTCCAAAAAGTAACTCAGATTTCCTGTAAGTCATGTATACAGTCCTTTGAATAACCGAAAACAAGATTTTTAGGGTTTTAGATCGATTAGAAACGGTTGTCGTCGTGAAATTTATCTGTAAAATCAGCGCATATTTTCCCAGAAAAAATGGCGATTTTAAAGTGGTCGTGTTAAAACGGCATTTTCTCAAAGTTAAAAAAGCATTTGACCTAAAACTATATCTGGGCAAAATTTGAGCAAAATCGATTTTTTAGGCGTGGCCGCGCAATGTCTCATATGTTCGATTTTTACTGACATTCACTTTTAATATCTCCGTGAATTTTTAAGTGAAATACAACTGTAATATATCAAAATCTAAGTTAGTCCTTCCTCTATTTGATGCAAGTTATTTCTCTTTAAAAACTTTACTTAATAATAATAATAATAATACTTTATTTAAACTGTTAAAAATGCCATCAGCAATGCTGCTGGTGTTAACGGGAGAACAGTGATTACAATTATCAACGATTGCATGTATACAATATAAACATGCATCCTAAATACTACAAATATGGGAATTGTTGTCAAGTTCTAAAAGATGCGCGTAAACAGTACGTTTAAATTTTGAGAGTGATATCGATTCTCTAATGTTTAATGGTAGAGAGTTCCAGTCTTTAGCACCAGCATACTTGAAAGTAGATTGACCTATTGCACTGTTCACCTTCGGAAGATCAAGCAGCGTCTTATCCCTCAAGTCTTTGCTGTGCATGCAACGTCTGAATTTGAACGTATCTCTCAGTTGACTGGGGCAGTCCAAGTTGTACAGTATCTTGAAAATACACATAAAACGTAAAAATCGTCTCCTGCTGTGCAATGTGAGCATCTTTAGTTCGCTGCGCATCTCTTGAGAGCATTTTCGCCTTGCTTTGTGAAGGATAATCCTCAAAGCACGATTCTGAAGTTTCTCGACCCGCTCGTTTGGATTATTCCGCACTCATGCCACACAGTCGAACCGTAGTCCAAGATGGGTAGTATAGTTTGTTTGTAGATACGGAGTAAAATTACGGAAGGCAGAAATGATGATAAGCGATTGAGTAAGCCAAGTTTTGGATACAAGCGTTGACATATTCTGCTAACATGCTGTTCCCATGACAGAATGTTGCTTATTCGAACACCGAGATAGTCAAATGTAGTGACCACATCAAGGATCTCATTGTCCAGATAGATTTCAATATCATTTGCCCTTTTCAGTGCATGCCGTGATCCAATTACCATAGATTTTGTTTTTTTGACATTTGGAATCATTCTGTTATCTGCCAACTATTGGTCCACTCGTTTGAGATCTTTATTCATTTGCGACTGAGCTACATCAAGATTAGGATGTGAACAGTGGGTTTCAATATCGTCCGCATAAAGAGATGGTCTTGAAGAGAGGAAGCTGTGGACTATTGGATTGAAAAGCAAACAAAACAGCGAGGGACCGAGCACAGAGCCTTGTGGGACGCCGTAATTAATTGGTAACAATTGAGATTGGACACCATTACACACGACATATTGTTGCCTGTCAGTTAGATATGAGCAGATCCAATTAGCCTCGATTTCCCCAAACCCTTATTTCCTTAATCTATCCAGAAGAACACGATGATCAATAATATCGAACGCCTTCCGCAGATCGATAAAGGTAGCCACTGAATATTGTTTTTGATCCACAGCGAGTTTCAGGGAATCTATGACTTGTATTAAAGCTGTCACGGTCGAGCTATGTTTTTTGTACGCGTACTGACTGGGTTCGAAGAAAGTTTGGAATTCCTGGTCATGTTCATTCATCTGGTTGTTTACACACGATTCACATATCTTGGATAAGCAGGGCAAAATTGATATCGGTCTGTAATTATCTCGATTTGTAGCTATATTACCCTTGAAAATAGATGAAATTTTTGCAATTTTCCATCTATTTGGAAAAACTCCAGTCTCCAAGGAACTATTGACTATACACGACAGACTTTGAGAAATACAGTTCGAGGATATCTTAAGGATCTTCGCCGGGATGTTATCATTCCCAGTAGCTTTGTTGGGATTTAAATTAGCCAACATATTGGAGATTTCAACATCAGTTGTTGGACGGAAATGGAATTTGGTTGGCGAGGAGCTTTCCAATGATGAGGGGAACTGGGATGGTGGAATATGATGGGAGTCAAGGTTGGAAGTAGAAGAAGTCGTTGTGGGAGATCTGGCAGAAAGAAGATTCGTAGCGACCGATGTAAAATGTAAGTTCAGAGAGTCGCTAATATCTTTAGGGTCCACTATATCAACGCCGTCGACAACGAGTTTATCAATTTTGGTCGTTCAGTTCTTCCATGGAAGTACTTTCTTCATTAGTTTCCAAAAAGCTTTAGGATCACCGTGGCAGTCGTCTAATTTGCGTTGGAAAAAGTCAGATTTGGCTTTACGCAACCTGCTTGTGACACAATTCCGAAGACGTTTGTAGATGTTAAAGTCATCTACCGATTTAGTTTTCAAAGCCTTTTTACGAGCTTGGTCTCTGTTACGCATCAAAACTAGTACACTACTGTCTATCCACGGATACGAGTTCTTCCTAATTCGCTTACGTCTCACGGGAAAGTAAATATCCATGACTGGCGTAAAAAGTTTCTCCCAAATTAATAACTTGTCGTTAGGGTCGTCAAACATGTTCATCGTATCCCATGATATACTGCTAATAGCGTTTTGGAAGCATTCGTGATTTGCATTTAAGTCAACTTTTCGAGTGGATATTACGCGATGCTTACTATCTTTCTGACGGACTGAAATCAAAGATCCGAAGATAGGAAAGTGATCACTAAATCCAGACTGTAAAACACCAGTTGACCTGAAAAGTTGGGGAGATGATGTTATCAACAGATCGATAAGTGATTCGGAAGAGGCGGTAGATCTTGTCGGTTCACGTATGAGTTGTGTTAGTTTGTAGACATTAAGGAACTCCTTAAGAGCTATAGTTTGTGCAGCAGACTCGTCAAGGCAGTCACAATTCAAGTCACCGATTATAATTATCTGTTTGTCTGATCTTAGAGTTTCGCGCGTAACGTCGTCAAGATAATCAAAGAAAGGCTCGACAGGTTGTTTAGGAGCTCGATATGCGCATATTAGTAGGCAGGGTAGATTCTTGCTTATTTTGAATTCGATGCATAGTGTTTCAAAGTGTGGCTCCTCGAGTTCCAGTTTTCGCTCGTATTTTAACCTGTCTTTTATATATATAGCTACGCCACCGCCACGGGAGTTTCTGTCATGTCGTTCGATACTATATCCGTTAATATCCACTTCCGTATTACTTATGCCGTTGTTGAGCCTGGTTTCCGTTGTAGCTATAAATAGAGGTTTAACCGATTTCATAGCAGCTCGGAGTTCGTCCACTTTTGACAATAAGCTCAAATTGCACGGACGTGAAATCTAGTCCAGTCCTCATAGTCGGATTTGAAATATTACACAAAAAACGATTGACTGAAATTCAGCATTTTGGTTGTGCGTCATATCACTCATATGCATTCAATTTTTGTGTTTCTTTGTGCAGTATTCTTGGCGAGATAACAGTGAAGTGGTTTGAAATGATCCAGACAGGTCTACCGATGTGTACATTTGGTTCCCTCCTTGCCCCTCTCAGGCTTGAACGCAGGTACGATTACATTGTTGAGGGCAATGAGAGGTACACTTTATACCGTTCCTTTATGGCAGCACAGTCAGGGATAGATCCAGCCAGATCTGGTAGGCGGGGAGGCTACTCACCGAGCTTTGGTCTTGTTCAGGATGGCGAGGGTTGACTAAGGTGTAATCACTAACTAGAGGGAACTACCAAAACAAGGCACCAGTCTGCAGTAGTCTTGCTTGACAATTTAGCAATCATTTTACTATCTCTGTATTTACTTGTTTAGAAGTTATTACGAATCAAACAGGAGTACTTTTTTTTGGGACACCTGGTATATAGCATGTCTATACTAGATGCCACGATGATAAAAGTTGTCTAGAAAACAATTCGTAAATTGTAAAATGACAGTCAGTTTTAAACTTTCGCCATATAGCATTTGAAAAACAAAATCTATACACTTAACTAATCATGAGCTTGATATTTACCACTTCAGTATCGGCACGTTCTCGCGCATGTATAGAGCTATATGCTCTCACATCGCATACCTGGGCTAATTTCGCCCAACTCAACCATCTTGGCTGGTGGCTTGGCGATTAACTCATGTTTATTATAAACGAGATAATTCGCATATTATTATCCTCTTATATTTAGTTAAATTACAATGCAAAATTTAAATATGAAACCGTGAAAGGCGATAATATTTGCCAATTACTATGGGGAAACATAAGCCAGACCTTTTTTTTCGCTCATCGGACTTTGAATTAAACTATATATATATACAGGATTATATTATTTTAACTGTTCATTTGGTGATAAGGTACACAAATTAAGGCGAGGACTTAAATAAAATATATTATTATACCCTACAAACAAGTTAGAACGAGTTAATCTCAATATTTTAAATCGACTCCCATTTTGGCGCTGTAATATGTATAGTGATTCTTTCTATGGCTTTTAAGAAAGAAGAAAATTGACCGAGTGTCTCAGGCAAGGCTGAAGATCTGAAGCCAATCAGTTCAATTTTATTTTGGAGATATGATTAAAAGTTTCAAATAATAATGTTAAAGATTCCGAGTTCGTTTTCGATTGATTCTCCGCCGGGTAACCAGATTATTTTTTTTTATATTACTCTGTGGATGAATGGCAACCGTACGTATATGGAAAAAATATATAATACAATCAGTCTACGAGGAAGCGTTTTTGAAATGCTTTTAATAGTCTCGTGATAATCACAACTAACTTTATCAGGAATATGTTAATCCGGTACTTGCATGGATCTAGGAACTCGAACTACGCGTGCATGAACTAATGCTGAGTTTGGTCATATAATTAATTCACATTTAAAGTTTATTAAGTAGTGTTCAGTTTTATGTTCGAGGGTAGTGATCTGTTTTCAGGAATGTTTTAATTTCAAAGTGCTGCTATATATGTCAATAGTCATAATTTGTAAAATGTAAAATGACAGTTCACCTTTTGACCTAACATTCGAAAACTGAAACAAAATATATATCAGCCAATCGTGAGATTGATAGCTACCACTTCACTATTTGCATGTTCTCGTGCATGTGCATAACAAAGAAATCCGCCAAAGTTCAAGACATTTCACATGGCCATGCTCTCACATATACCGGGCCTTTAGCCCTACTATATCTTAGTTGGTGACTCGGCGATAAATTCATGATTAATCGTAATGTATACTTAAAAGGTAATAGAACTATAGAAGGCGAAGGACCTGTACAATTATCACTGACCGGATATACTTCGCCTATCATTATTTTCCATATTTAGTTAATTTACTATATACAAAGGAAGTTAAATATGAAAGTATAAAATTGTTATTATTTGTCAAAGATAAGGAAACATAATCCAGATTAGCCTATAGCGTCCGGTATTCCTGTGCTGAAACACCTTTTTCCGGTCACCGGACTTGAACTACAAGACCATAATTGTTCTAACTGCAGTTCATTTCATTATAAGATGGCCCAGGCTACGTAAGTAAAATTATTACCCTACTAACAAGTAGGATCCATTAATTAATCTCAATATTTTCAAACGACTCATACATTATCTGCCGCGAAAATATTTAGTAGAGCTTTAATTGTAGCATTCAAGAAAGAAGCAAATTGACCGAGTGACTCAGGCAATGCTGGACATCCGGAACGAACATGCAGTATAATTGTATTATAGGGATATATAGATAATTCAAATAATAATGTTAAGAATTCCATCCGGTTTTTTAACTCAGTTCGCATGCCTCGTTAAATTGGAGGAAATTGTGGGTTTGCCTGTCTCGTTGAAAAGTTTTTAAATGTTTTAATAGTCTCTTGGTAACTAGATTTAACATTATCAGAAATATGTTACTCCAGTACTTGGATCTGGAAATAAAACTATACGCATATGCATGAGTCTACTGAATACGAGAAAAGTTCAGTTTAATTAAAGTTTAAGTAGTGTTTAGTTTTATGTTTGGGCAGTGTTTAGTTTTGTGTATAATTAAGTAGCGCGAAATTTTATGTTCGTGGTAGTGTTTTGTTTCAAACACGTTTTCAAAGTGCACCTATGTAAAAGTGTAAGTATACTATACCAATAGTTTTTAATAAGGAGTGGCAATTTTTTGGTAAGAACAATTTACTTTTGACAAGCAAGTTACATCTTGAAATGTTATCCACCTAGATAATGCCATCGTTTCGTAATTGAAAGCAAATAATCGTTCAATTTTAACCTTTGTTTTTATTTTAGAAAATCCATGCAACGTATTTTTTAAATGTTTTTTTTTACAAACATTCAACTTGTTATTTTGCATTACACAAACCATGGGAAAAGTGTTATCTTTAACCTATTTAGACGCAGGTTATTAGCGTAGCATGGCCCGAGATGCCAGGATGATCAAACTTATTGTGTGTAAACAATTAGTGTAAATTGACCACTTGCGCAATAGACTAAATTTTGATCTCAACAAGTCTAGACTAAAATTTCATCACAGCTTGAAAAAGCATCACAAAATTAGCAATATTCCAAAGTTTCGTCGCGAAATGTTGTAAATTAAAATGCGGATAATACGGCCTTGCGAAGTTTGCTGTTTTTCAGTCATTTTGCATTACGCGTGGAAAATTGACAGTCCAATACCTTTTGGGGCTGTCAATTTCCCGTTTGTAACACAAAATGACTGAAAGACGGCAAACTTCGCAAGTCTATATTATTCGCATTTGACTGGCACTTCGCAGCAAAACTTTGGAATATTACTAATTTTGTGATGCTTAATTTTTCAAGCTGCGATGAATTTTTGGTCTATAGGCTTGTTTAGATCAAAATTTAGTTTATTACGCAAATGGTCAATTGTAAAATGACAGTTGAACTTCTTACGTAACATTGGAAAAACGCCAATCATGAGTTTGAAAGTTATATATAGCACTTCATTCTCCGCATGTTCTTGCGCATGCATGCGCATAACAAAGAAATCCGACCAACGTCCATGACTTTTCACTGGCTATGTTCTCAAGTTACATACCCAGGCTTTCGCCCTACTATCTTGGCGGGTGGCTCGGCGATTAAATTAAAATTTCTCGTAAAAGTATACTTAAATAGGTAATAGAACAATAAAGAGCGAACGAACCGTACAATTATTACAGACGAGATAGTTCGCATATTATTATCCCCACATTTAATTAATTTACAATGCAATAGTTAGGCCATGTTCAAACGTCGAACTTTTCATGCGCCGAACCCAATGCAAATGAAGTGAAACAAAGAACTTAGCTCATTAACATTAGGTTCGGCGCATGAAAAGTTCGACGTTTGACCCTGGTCTTAAATATGAAATTAAAACCGTGAAATACGATATTATTTGTCAAAGATAAGGAAACATAATCCAGGTATAAGCCTAACGTCCCATTATATTGCGGTGCTGAAACAACTTTATCCGGTCTCCGGACTTTTAACTACAAGACAATTGTTTTAATTGCTCATTCCATTACACGACAAACCAAGGCTATATAGGACTTCGTGAAAAACAGTAAGTAAAATGTATTACCCTATAACGACTTTTAATTTCATCTGTTTAGTAGAGCTTTAACTGTATAAAGCTCTTAAAAGAGGAGCAAATTGACTGAGTGTATAAGGCAAGGCTGAAGATATGGAACCAACCAGTATAATTGTGTTATAGGGATATAAAGAATTCGAATGATAATGTCAATAATTCCATTTGGTTATTTAGCTGAATTCGCACGAGCGTAAATGGGAGGTAATTGTGGGTTTGTCTGTCGATCGTGAAGAGTGTTTTAAGAGGAGAACCTTTTGCATTTCACGTAATACGCACTCAAAACTAATGAATATGCTTTTGTTATACTATGTATAATATTCACTACATTTTTTATACATTTCTCAAGCGGCAATGTTTCATGCTTTATCTGCATGTAAATTTATGCTAAAATAAATTATTAAATGAAGAGATTTTAGATGGTACGCCAAAGAGAAAATGATGTCTGGAGTTCAGTACGTTTTGCGTATATTGCTGTATAAATATGGCGTCAGTTTTGCAGTATCAATAATAATTGTATTTAATTAAATTGACAAGTTTTTACCACTATTTTATGTTTCTCAACTGCCAGATACGTTTAAAAAGATTACTAACTGTGTAAACTATAAAATAAAGATTAACAAAGTAATTTTGAGAGGAACACCAAAAAGATTTTTGGTTTTGAACACTTTGCATCGGAAATACGCGACATTGAAAAAATTGCTTCTTAGGCATAATATTAATTCTTGTGGTATCACATCCGGACATTATCAGGAACATATCATTCCAGTACTCGTATTTGAAAATATAGAACTATACGCATGCATGAATATTGAGTAAAGAAAGAGTTCTGTTTAAAGTTTTGGTAATGTTCAGGTTTATGTTGGAGGTAGTGTTTTGTCATTCAGAAAAGTTTTCAAATTTGCACTAATAAAGAAGTTTAAACACCCATAGTATTTACAATTAATTCGTGCATTTTTTTGTTAAGAACAATTTCCTTTTATACGAGCAAGTTACGTCTTGAAACGTTATGTACATGCTTTGGTAGAGATGCGCGGCGATATGAAAAGATCTGTATTGTCGTGTATTAATTCATGCTTCTTGGCTTAATTCGTTTCGTGATTCAGAGCAAATAATCCTTAAATTTTTAACCTTGTTTACCTTAAAGAAAATCCATGCTACGTATTTTGTAAATGTTTCTTTACCAAGATTAAGCTCGTTATATATAGTGGTGAAACTACGCATAGCAACAAATTCTAAATTATTATATTTTGCGTAATTCAAACCATTAGAGAAGTATTGTCCTTCTATTTAGAAACAGGTTATTAGGTGCAGCATGATCAAATGCAACGATGATCAAACTTGTCAAGTATACCATTTGTCAATTGTAGAATGACAGTTAAACTTTTGACGTATAACATTGAAAAAACGCCAATCATATGAGCTTGAAATTAATACCATGCACTGCACTATCTGCTTGTGCTCGCGCATGTGCATATAGAAAAAAAATTCGCCCGCGTCCATGACATTTCACTGGCTATGCTCTGACAACACATGCATACCTGATCTTTCGCTTAACTGTCTTGGCGGGTGGCTCCGCGATTAAATTGGATTTCTCGTAAAAGTATGCTTAAATACTGTAGGTGCATGCAATAGAACTATAAAGAGAGTAATATTTCAAATCCAAGTTAGTGTTTTAGACGTGGTTTCTAAATACAAGTGCCATGAACAATGGCGAGGCGCAGTCGAGCCATTGTTCATGGCACTGGGGATTTGGAAGCCAAGTTTAACATCATTAGACTTTCAAAACATCATTAGACTTTCATAGCAATGAGGCATGAAATTATTAGATATTCAAAAAGTGAGCGTGGGCATTAACGATTACATTCGCTTGAAATTAAGTTTGCATGAAGTGCAACGAAGCATTCAGTTCGCTTTCGTCGTGAATAGATAATTTTGTTGGCAAAAGAGCATGGTATCTTCTCATGATATACAGTGTAAGAAAAAGTGGTTTCGAGAACCAGAAAGTGTTGAGCACAGCATTGTGCACAGTATTGTCGCTCGGCTGACAAGGTTGGGGATCCGAAAAACGATATATCAGATTGTGTGTGCGATAAGGCGCTATCTGGTGGAAAATGAAAGAGCTGAAGTGAATATATATTTTATAGACGGTAAACATTACTGGTAAGTTGCCGTATTATAGTGTTTAAAGTGCTGTTTATTATGATAGTTGGAAAAAAGTTGGTTTTCCTATATTTATGTAGTTTTCAAACGTTTAGGAAAAGTGTTGCTATAAAGTGTAGTTAGAATAAATTGGCCGAAATGCTATGAATATCTAATGATGTATGAGAAACGAACGAACTGTACAATACTACAGATGAGATACTTTGCATATATTATCCGATATTTAGTTAATTTATACTATGCAAAAATTAAATATGAAACCGTGAAATACGATATTATGTGTCAAATATAAGGAAACATAATCCAGATCAGCCTTCGATCCCATATTCCTTCCTGAAACAACTTCTTCCGGTCACCGAACTATTAACTACAAGACTATTGCTTCGACTGTTCATTTCATAAGTCAAACCAAGGCTGCGACTTCGTCAAAAACAGTAGCCTAAGTAAATTATACCACCTTATCAGGAATACGTTAATATAATACTTGCATGGATCTAGGAACTCGAGCTGTAAATTCACATTTAAAGTTTCAGTAGTCTTCAGTTTTATGTTCAGGGTAGTACTTTGTTTTCAGGAATGTTTTCAAAGTGCTGCTATGTATCAGTCAATAGTCATAATTTGCAAAATGTCAAATGACAGTTCACCTGACCTAACATTCAAAAACTGAAACAAGATATACGTCAGCCTGCAATCATGAGATTGATAACTACCACTTCACTATTTGCATGTTCTCGTGCATGTGTATAACAAAGAAATCCGGCAAAGTTCAAAACATCTCACTTGGCTATACTCTCACACAATACACCTGCTTTAGCCCGACTGTGTCGTAATGGGTGACTCGGCGACAAAATCATGATTTTTCATAATGTACACTAAAAGGTAATAGAACTATAGAAGACGAAGTATCTGTGTAATTTTTTTTGACCAGATACTTCGCATATTATTATTTCCATATTTAGTTAATTTACTATGCAAAGGAAGTTAAATATGAAACTATATATGAAATGCGTTATTATTTGTCAAGGATAAGGAAACATAATTCAGATTAGCCTATAGCGTCCGGTATTCCTGTGCTGAAACACCTTTTTCCGGTCACCGGACTTAAAATACGAGACTATAATCGTTCTAACTGCAGTTCATTTCATTACAAGACGGACACAGGCTAGCACTTTGTGAAAAACGGTAAGTAAAAATATAAACCTACCAACAAGTAAGAGCCATTCAATCTCAATATTTTCAAACGACTCATTATCTGCCGCAAAAATATTTAGCAGTGCTTTAATTGTAGCTTTTAAGAAAGAAGCAAAGCTTTCAGGCAAGGCTAAACATCCGAATCGAACGAACCAATATAATTGTATTATAGGGATATAGATAATTCAAATAATAATGTTAAGAATTCTATCCGGTTATTTAGCTGAGTTTCTATCCGTCGTAAATGGGAGGTATGTAATTGTGGCATTGTGTGTCTCGTTGAAGAGTTCTTAAATGTTTTAATAGTCTCTTGGTAACTAGATTTAACATTATCAGGAATATGTCACTCTAGAACTATACGCATATGCACGAGTCTACTGAATACGGGAAAAGTTCAGTTTAATTAAAGTTTTATGTTTGGGCAGTGTTTAGTTTTATGTATAATTAAGTAGTACGAAATTTTTTGTTCGGGGTAGTGTTTTGTTTCAGAAACGTTTTCAAAGTGCACTTATGCAAACGTGTAAGTACTGTACTAATAGTTTTTAATAAGTGTGGTAATTTTTCGTTAAGAACAATTTACTTTTGACAAGCAATTTACATTTTGTAGTGTTATCCACCTACATAATGCCATCGTTTCGTAATTGAAAGCAAATAATCCTTAAATTTTAACCTTGTTTTCATTTAAGAAAATCCATGCAACGTATTTTTTAAACGTTTCTAGTTACAAAGATTAAACTCGTTAGTGGTGAAACTATAGCTATAGCAACAGGGTCATGCTATAAGTTCGCACCCGTTGTAAATGGAGGTAGCTTAATGGTGGGTTTGTCAGTGTCGTTGAAGAGTTTTTAAATGTTTTCAATATGGTCTCGATGCAGTACCTCTAACATTACCCTGCTGGCAGTGGTTTCTGAGCTGAGGAGAAACAACTGCGAGCAAACGAACCATCGTTTCATGTAGCCGCCGTTGAAATTCACGGACGAAACATTAAGTTCTCAACCGGTAAAACAAGCTTGGCAAGATTTTGTTGTTGTGCGCATGGGTCAATACTTGCCACTGCTGGTAAAATGTGAGCCAGTTGTACACTTGAAAAAACATCACGCTTTAAATACTGTAACACGCGCTATAAATATACTACAAAATATTATAACTTCAAAAAATATTGAATAAAATGTGAGAAATTATACATTAAGATGACTTGAAAACCGCATAGCGTACAACAGAATAACTATAAATTCCCGCACACTGCAACAACCTTTACAGAAATAGTAGCGCCGTCGCGACGATCTTTGATGGGTTGAAATGTGTGGCGGTTGAGTTCGCGGCAATGAAAAATTGCAATAATTGTCAAAATCAACAGTAATTGGAAACATTTTATTATTTGGAAAGTTTGGGAATTGGAATTTATCGAAAACCTAAACACAATCCGTCTAACGTCAAGGCGTTTAAGTAACAAAAAATAAAGTTCATAAACCGAATTAAACAAAATTGATATTGTCGCGGGATAAACACAAAATTTTAAAAGATATAACAAAAATTCAAATGCACAATCTGTACTTAGCTGTAGGGTAAAGCATGCCCGATTTCAAAACATTTTAGTGCTGGCAATAACGAGATTAAAACCGATACATAGATTGTGCATGAACTGCGTGTAGAATTAAAAACTATTCGATTAAAACTGACAGACAACAAATAAAACCACAAATAAAACAGTACTATGCCACGTTTGTTTACAGATAAAGGACTACAGGAAGTAAAGTAAAATTAGTGACTTGCCATCACGTGATCTTCGCGATCCTCGATAGAATGTCGTTCGTTTGCTCGCAATGGTTTCTCCTCAGCTCAGAAACCACTGCCAGCAGGGTACTCTAACATTATCAAGAATATGTCAATCCAGTAATTGGATCTGGAAATACATCTACGCATACATGAATCTATACTGAGTACCGGCCGAGTTCAGTTTAAAGTTTGAGTGGTGTTCTGTTTTATGTTTCCACTGTTATTTTCAGGGAGTTAAAATAACTCCCCTATTACTCCTTTTTAGTGGAGTTAACATTTTAGGGCTACGTTAACCCCATTTCAGGAGTTAAAGTAACTCTCATTGAGGAGTAAGGGGATATGGGCGAACTAATTAGTATGCAAAATTAACTCTTGATGGTGGAGTTATTCAGATTAACTCCATTTATTGGAGTTATTTGTTATAAAAGGCAAACAAAATGGCGTCGTGTTTTCGGCTTTTTTAATAGTTTTAACTCGCTCAGATTGCTTTCCTTTCTACTGCACTCAAGAAAAAAACCCGTGAAAATTATACGGAAGGGAGGCGAGAACGTACTGCATTATTCATGTTTCAGGTAAGTGAACATATTTTACTTCGTGTTTAATATAAATATTCAGATGAGAGGAGTGACATTTTTGGTCACAACAGCTCAATGACGCAGTGTTTTATTACAACTTATTTTTATTATTCTGTGGTGATGTGTTGTATCATATTAAATTTAAACATAGCAAGTACAAATTGTACACATTGTACTTGTCATACAGTACAATACAATCCACTATAAGTTAAAACAAGACATGACAGCTATGACAACACAAAATTCATTATATTTCATTACAGTACAACAAAGTATATAGTACAATTTTGCATCACGCAGTACATTACAGTACAATATGCCTAAAAGTACAGTGCACCAAAGGACAGTACAGCACAATTTCGCATAGTTAAGATTACTGTAGCACAGTGAAGTACAGCTGAGTTTAAAACACATAAAAATTCAGTGTAGCACAATAGAGTTTGAGGTGATTGTTTGAGCTGGATAACACACATTAGTGTGCAATACCCTCCCTTGAAAAGTAAATGGTCTGGAATTAGACAAAGTAAAATACCAAAGTAGGACCCCATGGGCCATGAAGTGTTTAAAGGCACAGTTCAGCCTTTTGAACGATGGTTTTTAAGGCGCATTTGAGCCCTTTTAATTGAAAAAACTAACTAGGAAAATCAATTAAGCATAATTCAAAATCAGTAAACTCGACGTTTTTAACAATATAAATGTTTTAAAATGTTAAAAACATTAAGTTGGGTGATCTTGAATCTATGCTTAATTGATTTTCCTAGTTAGTTTTTTCAATTAACAGGGCTGAAATACGCCTTAAAAACCATCGTTCAACAGGCTGAACTGTGCCTTTAAGATTAGAAAACTCCACAATATGGAACATATGGTGCACCAAAGAGTAATACAAAATCCCCGAGGCATCTTTAAAGGCACAGTTCAGCCTTTTGAATGATGGTTTTTAAAGCGCATTTCTGCCCTTTTAATTGAAAAAACTAACTATAGGAAAATCAATTATGCATAATTCAAGATTAGTAAACTTAATGTTTTTAAGAATAAAAATGTTTTTAAATGTTAAAAACATTAAGTTTGCTGATTTTGAATTATGCTTAATTGATTTCCTATTTAGTTTTTAGGCAATTCCAGCTTTTAGTTTATGCGTGCAAGGGATAATGGGAAGTAAGGTACCATATTGCTGATTATGCTGAAACATTTCAATAAAAACTGCCGAAACAACCGAAATATTTGAATATTTACAAGTATAAGTTATCACTCAGTGTTTACACGGACACCATGTTTATTTTTTCAGCATAATCAGCAATGTGATACCTTACTTCCCATCGTTCCTGCACGCATAAACTAAAAGCTGGAATTGCCTATTAAAAGGGCTGAAATACGCCTTAAAAACCATCATTCAAAAGGCTGAACTGTGCCTTAATTAAGGTCCGTGTTTACCCTTGCTGCGATTTCTGGTGCGATTTTCTTCTTTTGATGTATGGAAACGAGTAGATGAGTTATAATAGTCCAGTGAACTCAATTTATTTTTATACTTTACCTGGAACACTAACACTAGTCAACGATATTATATGTACTAGCATAATTAACTATAAAAGGGAAATGGCAATATATTTTTTTATTTTCCCATTTGAAAGAACAATGAAAACTATTTAATAACTTCTTTTACCGATTCTTCATATCCAGCTTAGTTTTTGAAATATTTTCACTTGAAGTAATGAGATGTCATCCATCTTGGATAATTTTTTTATCTCATTAACGGTAGTTTTGGTGACGTCACAACAGGGATTAACCATATAAAAGTATTCGTTGCTGACCAAATATTGATTGGTAGATGTTTTAAAGGTTTCAAGTGATCTTGATATTTCCTAGTGCATACAGAGAATAATTTTGAGTGCAAAATGATTAGTGGTTGTCTAGATAAAAATATTGCGTGACCCCTGTTGTGACGTAACATGCATATCCACAAAAATCCAAGATGGCGGACATTTCACTTCTTTCGATTAAAATATTCGTAGAAGTAAGCAAGATATGAAAAAACGGTAAAAGAGTTTTCGATATGGTTTTAATGTTCTTTCAAACGAGAAAATAAAAAAATATATTGTCATTTCCCTTTAAGTAATCGTTCGCATATGGCCTTTTCTGAAATTTTGGAAAAGACAGGAAAATCTAAGCAACATATACATTTTCCCTTGAATCATGCATGCTTGAATATATGCGTTTAATAGTACTACATGATATCCCTACTCACATTGATGAGATATCCGGAATGAATGTGGTGTAAATTTTCATAATCGTTGATTCTCAAGATGAAAGCTGCATCTTCTGCGGGTAGAATTAAACACTTTTGTTCCGGTGGTTTTGATGTGTCCAGAATGTAATATATTCCAAATATATCCAGATTCTTTATACCGATAACATCACTGACAGAACTGAAAAATTCGTTACCCCGATCAAGTATAAATTTCAAGAGTGTAGAAACCTCCTCAAATGCCTGAAATAAATTATAACACACATGTTACACGTTGGAAAAAAGAAAAAAGACATCCCAACATTTTATCATTGTGGATAATATTAATAATATATATATGGATATCCTGATTACTATTTAGTTTGCGTTTTGTTGATTAATATTAATAATATATATGCATGGATATCCTATTACTACTTAGTTTCATATCATAACATTTACAACGTTTAGCATTTGAAATGATCACTCGAAATATTAAAAAGTTTTTTCACAGAGCCAGTGTTATAAAATGGGGCTTTCTGTCTTTGTCGTTCTTCGTTACATGCCCATATATGGCATGCAACTTTCATATAGCTCTAAATTTCGTGTCGCGGTGTACCAGTGTACCGGCGGTGGTAAATCACATGACATATTCGCAAATACGACAAATGCCGAGTTTTTCCGACGAGCATTTTAATGTGATGTGAATCACTCATGCGTGCACGCTTTCGTTCACGGCTTTCGTCGAGGAAATGCAAAGAAAATTTTGATTGTTCGTCGAAAATCTACGTAATTGAGCGCGTCTCAGAAAAATAGATTGAAGTAGGTAAAGCTTTGCTGTTTCTATTTTACCTTATGTTCTGTAATTTGTTGTGATTTTCGAGCCGTTGTGCTCGCACTGATTATTTTTCAATTATCAGGCGTTATTTATATATCGTGAATAGCCACGCTATCAAAATACTTATTTTTCATACTCTCAAATTGAAACGAAGCCATTGTGCTCACACTGATTATATTGTGTGCAAAATTTCAAAACTACAGTACGTAGGCTACATTTTGTACTGTAAATAACCTGAAATATATTAAAAATATCAAACAAAATACTCATTAAGGGACTGGTCATAAAGTAACTGCTAGGGTGGGCTGGAGGTAAATCACAAATTTTGCCAATAAGTTTGGTGACCCATCTTAGCATGTAGATAAAAATTTCAAAGCCCATCTAATCTTACAAAAAAATTTTCATGACCTACCCAATCTAAATTGGGAAAATACACTTTTATAATAAAAAAAAACTTGCAGGTATGAACATTGTAAATATACACGGCACTGTATTGACATACATAATTCCACCAAGCTTGACAAACACAATGATACTGAGCTGCTCTCCAGTTGGTTGTATTTGCTGTGATTCGACCACATCTTGTTGTTGTATAAACAGTACTGGCTTCAATAGCATCATTTGCATTTGATAATTTGGATAGTTTTGTTTACTTTTATTATTAATATCTTTATTTTTTGAAGTAGACATGCATGCATGGGTTTTTGTTTGGTGACTCAACCGTGGACATACAAAAAAAATTGGCGACCCATCGCAACTGCCCAAAGATTTCCATGGTCCATCCCAAATCACTCCAGCCCACCCTAGCAGTTACTTTATGACCGGTCTCTAATACTATTGAAATACAACGAAACAGCATTCTACTTCGATTGTAAAGTTAATAAAAAAAATTTCAATCATAGTCGAGATCATAGTTTAATATTTTTTTTCAATTTATTATAGAAATTCACCGTTTCCACGGGTTTTTATACCTTCAATAAGTATATTGATATTAAACGTATTGAATCAATATTTTAAGTTTCAAACGAGTTGTACCAAAATTTCTAAGCGCTAGTGCACCATAAGGTTTCAGATCAGGTTTCGGATAGCATGCAACATGTGCGCAATGCGTACCTATTTTTTAGGGTTTTTTGGGTATCACAAACGCGACATACCATCGAGGCATCGTAGACTCAGGGTACAGTGCTACAGTGACCTATGAAGTTCAGTTTTAAAATGGCGGCCAATCAATGAGTGGGCAAAATATTTCAAAGAATTTCGTTAAAATTTTCAGGAATCGCTATAAATCAAGAACTGACGAATCGTGGTGTATTGCATAAAATCATAGACGGATTTTCATATTTATTACTGGGGTGGTGCCAGAAATTTTAGGGGGGTGAGCCGTGAGCAGGTGACTGAAGCAACACAAAGTGTCACCAAAGCCCATGAAGGTCTATATTCTAGGGGTGGAGCACTAGAGCCGCGAGGGGGAGTCTACAGAGCAGAAAACAAAGTACCCCAGGAAAAATTTGAAAAAAAATCATGATTTCTAGCTTCGAAAAGTTTTTTGAAGTTGTCAATTTGTCATATCAATGGATTTGGCATGTCCGATTGTCTGTTGAGACTTGAGAGAGTTAAAGACTTAAAGTTAAGTGAACTTGCAAAAGTGTAAACCCAATAGGCCAGTACACAATATGCTTTTACTTTTATAAAGTCATTGACATTGTGTTGTTTGAATCCGAGTACAATTTATGACGCAACTCCGATGTAAATAATATTTGGGACGTAAAGATTAAATCTAAGCAAGTCTATTTCCTAAAAGAATTAAAAACTAAAAATAGTGTTCGTAAAAATTCCAAACGTTCCTTGCGTGCAAGCTATTTGCATGACAAGGCACTGCCAACTCTATTCAGGGAAGATAATAGAGTTTCAAAACTTTACAATTGCTTTACAATTGGGTTGAAATTTTTTTTGGAGGGGTGGACATTTTGTTTGGGGGGGGGGGGTTATAGCTAATATTAGGGGGGTAGCACCCCCCTGCACCCTCCCCCCCAGAAAATCCGTCTATGCATAAAATGTTGCCATTATTACAGTGGCGCATTACTGACTTAATAGGTAATTAACACAACTTTAACTAAAGTCAACAACGAGCATGGGGTAGGAGAGGGGGGAGGGCCTCAGAGCTCCCTTTGTCAAAAAATCCATGTCGATTTATGGTATTTTATGGACTTGTAACGGTTTTTGGCAAATGCACGGCTGAAAATGATGCGGTAATGATTTTAGTAATCTGTACTTTATTGCTATGATCCTACCAAGGCTACCATTAGATCGTTTATGTGGTCCCAACCTGGAATAGCTTCTGCAGATCAAAATATTTTATTTCTAATTAAGTCTTTTCTTCAAAGAACTAATTGAAGAATACCCTGGATTCCAGAGCCTTCGACAGTAAATAATAAATTGAAATGTCGCGAAGGCTCTGGTTCAACGGGGCGATTCTTTGATTAAGCCGCGCCAATCACGAAACAGAATTAGTGGTTTTAGTACAGAATCTGTACTAAAACCACTAATTCTGTTTTGTGATTGGCGCGGCTTAATCAAAGAATCGCCCAGTTGAACCAGAGCCTTCGCGACATTTCAATTTATTATTTACTGTCGAAGGCTCTGGAATCCAGGGTAACTGAAGAATTGTTAGAACCAAAAAGAAGACCATGGACGCCTTGTTACTCCCATATCTTGTTACCTCTCCTCCCCCCCC